TGAATTATAAATACTGAAAACTGTGCCACTAGAAACGCTTCCCTCTGCATTTTTCCTCCTGGGAGGGCCACGGAGGGGAAGCAGCACAGGGAGCCCTGCACCTGCTCCAGGGTCAGCACCTCTGTCAGCTCTGGGCCGAGAGTGCTGATGCTGGGGTTTCGGTTCTCCACTCAGCTATTCATCCCACCAACAAGGGTGACCTGCCTCCTGATTACCAGCACCTGGGACTGTTTCCTGTAGCCACAGCTGGCGGGGGCCTCTTGGGCATGTGCCTGCCACCTGGTGCCTTCCCGGACCAGGAGCTTGCAGCCGTATGTGCCGCAGTAAGAGATTTCAGACAGCATGTGAAAACGTATAGAATGCATGCATTTCCATTTCCTAGGAAAGCAGTAAACCATGGCTTTGATAAAAATAAAACATACTTTCACCCAAATATTGGATACTCATATATCACAGTGATTCTCACAGAAATTTGTCAAACTCTGTTCACAAGGCATTGAGTACCTAGTACGTACAGAGCCCCCATGCAAAGGAAATGGTGACAAAAGCAAGATTCTTGCCCTCCAGAAGCTCAGCAGCGGACAGGGAAAATAAGACAGTCCCTAGGTGACTCTGTTACAAGGCAGGCTATGATGAATACCAAGGTAGAGCTGCTATTTGGGGAAAAGATGGGAAGAAACTGATTCTAGCCAGAGTGATTCTGGAAATCTTGATGGAAGAGCTAACTTTTGAGCTGCATTTTAAAGCACAAATGAATTTTCAGAAGATTTCAATGGAAAGGAGATTGAGGAGTCTCTGAGAGATGCATGAGAAAGATGAAGTGTTAGACAGTAATCCATGTGTTCAGGGTACAGAGAAGATAGGGCCACTGACGGAGACCCCAGCCTGGTGGATGGCAACGCGTGACCCGTCTTGTCTCACATATGGGGCCTGAGCTTTGGGGATGCCTGTGACCCTTCTCCCAGCCCATCTCGTCTGTGGCTGCTTCCTTGAAGGCAATCCAAGACTGCCTCTCATTGCTATTTGGAAATCTTGCCTATGGAGAATATCGTCAGAGAGTAATTTGAGATGCCTGATGTCTGTTAAACTAATTATGCTTTGGTCCTCAGAGTACCTTGGTGCTCTCAATCTTGAATGCTCAGCAGATTTTATGTAGTATCTGAATTATTAATGGAGATGATATGGAAGAGGGGGCTTGGCTGCTTGCTCCATTTTGAGCAGGTCTTGGGCGAGTGGCATTACAGGAAGAAAGGCAGCTGCTTGCAGAGTGATGGACGAAGCAGGCCTTCCAGAGGAGCCCTGCCCAGACAGGAGCCTGTGCCAGTATGCTCAGAAAATCACGGCCTGCTTTGGAGGGATGGGTAAGACCCCTTAAACATTGGGCTTTGCAGAGAAGATTCCCAGGGTTGATGATGCCGACGAGCAGGACTCATTTTATTCCTTGCTGTTGGTGGCGAGCAGGAGCAGCTGCTAGAGGGGAAGAATCTCCAGTGGTCCAAGTTGACATTGGCAAATCCGATAGCTCCTCTTCCGGAGCCTTGCTACTTTAAAAAAGTCCTTTCTCTGCTTATTCTTTGCTCAGCAGCAAAGATTATCTTGATGATTGTGAGCAACTGCAGGTATCTCGGGGAGGCTTGTTGAGCAATTTTGTTTGCTTATTTTGATTTTTAAAAAAATATCCAAAAACCAACTGACCCGATTATCATCAATAAAGCTGCAGGCTAACTTCAGAGCATTTCCTTAGACAGTCAGATTCCACAAGGATTCTCATTTTAAGGTGTTGCTTGGTCTCTGAAACAAAATTTTTTTTTTTCCTTAGTAAGAAGCAGGTAGATTTTAGTTGATTTAAAAGCAGAGGAGGTCACTTGTCTGGAAAAAAAAAAAAGACCTGAATCAGCATTATATATTAAAGACATTGTGGGTAACTGCTATGTGGATTGACCTGTGATTGACAAGAGTAATATTTATGGCATACATTCCCTGAGTGCCGTGTAGTCCCCAAACACTTGGCTCTGGGTTGGGTTCATCTCATCAGGTATTTATTAAGCTCCTATAATATGTAAAGGCAGAGTGCTCAGGGCCTCTTGGTATAGCCTAAAGCTCTTTGGTGAATTTTCCTGCCAATGGTCTTTTTTCATAGCGTATCAAATAACAGGTGCATTGGAACTGTTTTTAGCAGGATTAGGAACTTCCTAACTGATCAGATATATAGGCTAGAAAAATCTCGGATGAGGATTAAGTATTTGTAATCATCATTAGCTGGGTGTTTACTCTGACCTGTGTGGAGGAGGTTAAGTTGAAAACTCTGGGCACCTGGAAAGTGGAATTTAGTTCACAGGTGACTGGTCACTTCTGGTCCCAAACCTCAGACAGCCAGCATCTGGACTGTCCCCTCTCTCTACTGTCTGAGAAAGGCACTGGCCTATGTAGTTAGCTTGTCTTTTAAAAGCAAGCAAACCTTTGTCATTGTCACCAGCCCTCTTTAGGATCCCTCCTTAGTTTACTTTTTACCCTGCCATAAAATTCTTGAAATGTATCAGACTTCTCTCACATAATACTGTTATTGAGAAAATTAAATGTCATCTTCTCTGTCTCACAGAGACAGAGATTTCTTTAATTTCTTTCACAGTGCTGGGGATGGAACCCAGGGCCTTGTGCATGCTAGGCAACCAGTCCAACACCGACCTTTACCCCCAGCCCAATAATTGCTTCTCAACTAAATGTATGGCTCTTTAAACTTATCAGAAAATTTAGGGATGATCTGAGTACATATTGCTGATACAAGAGTTAAGTGTGGAGGTGGGTTAATGCTATATAATTACTGTGCCAAGTTTGGGGACCAAGAAGGTAGAAGAGCTTTGTCATAGAATAGTTCCACTTTTTATTGGTCAGGAAGGTGCTGGATTTGAATTTTTAAAAATCTTATATCTGTCCAAAGTTTATGCTGTGTGTTGTGGTTTTTAGCTTGCGTCTGAAGTCACTGCATATTTCCCAGAAAGACCATATAAACCTCATAAACAAGTAGCTACTCAGGTTCTCATTTTGCAAAGAGCAGAGCTGAAGGAAACTGACTGACCACAGCAAGAGGAGTTCATGGTGAAGAGCACAGGTCCCCACACTACAGCGTTTACTAGGAAAACACTCTAGAAGAATCTACTCAGCCTAGGTGGGCGGCAGGAATCTGAATTTTAAACAAATTGGTCCTGGACTACATTTTGGGAAATCATTGAGAAGCTATTTTACATTTCATATCTTCAGAATAGGCATGCAAGAAATATAACACATACAGGTTATTTTACATGCCTCATAACCTGTTTTTAGAGGAAACTGAAAGGATTTTCTTTGGGGAGGAGACTGGTATTTAGGACTTAATTCCCAAACTTTTGTTACAGAAATTTCGAGGTGTGTCTTGCCAGTGTCTCTCATCTCCACTGTTTCCACTGTCCCCAGCTTCTCTCCAGGCTGGGAAGCCTCAGGGCAGTCTCTCGTTCATCCATTCTGACTGTGCTTCCCATTAGGTTAGAGCAATTCTAGCAAATTTGGTTTCTCTGGTTCTTGAATTCTGTTTCCAAATCCTTCAGTAATAACAGAGGCTAGAAACAAATGAAGCAAGGATTTCTTTTCTTTCTTCATTCGCCCAGAACCTTGGTGGAAGGTTTTGACTACTATGAAAAGAAGAGTTTTGTGTGGGGGACTGGCTCCTCCCAGGCTTTCTAGATTGTCATACAAAAGTCTCTTGGTTTCTCTGAGGCTTACTAGGGCTTCTTCTGAAATGCTGGAGTAGACCAGGGTTTCCCAAATGCTGGCTGTGGTCTGGGGAACTTTTAGAAATAGGAGTTCCTGGGCTCCACAGAATCTCACGTGGAGGTCTGGTTGGTGCCCTAGATTTTGTAGTTTTTGAAAATTCCACAGATGATTCTTAAGCGCAGGGAACCACTGAACTGGATGGTCTTGGAGGGCTTTTCCACCTTGGTAATCTTATTCTGTTTAAAGTATAAAAGTGGTTTTAATGAAAAGAAAATTTTATTAGGACCTCATAGCCCAGTGAAGGAGCAGTGGTGTGGGTTTGTCTACTTGGATTTGTGACCGTTGCATGGTTATGGACTCACATATCATACCTGACATTCCCATGTAGGTGTCAGAGGATAGATGCCCATTACCAGGGCTGTCCTTTGTGTATCAGCCCCTTAATTGAGTGAGAGCCCTGCCAGCATATAACAGAATAGCATTGTGAAAACCCGGCATTTCTGTCTCCTCCCTCCAATTCTGCTGATTCTGCAAGAACAGAAAAAAAACCATGAAACAGCTTTGAAACTATTATTAGCTTTGGACGAGTGGAAAGAGACAGAGGATTTTGATGGCACGAGGGGAAAGAATCCCCCTGTAGAACACGGAAAGGAAATGATTACTATGGCCTGGAGCTGGACTTGTCACTAGTTGAAACTGAGGAACTTTAATTGAGGTCCCTGCTCTGTGAGATCTGAAATGCTGGAGAACCTGGAACTGTTACCCTGGAGGTTTTTTTTTCTCTCCTTTGTTATGTATTTTTAGATTATATACACATGAGTCTACATGCCTGGGCCTATTCTTAGTACTCTTCCAGATGATGTGGATATTCTAGGAATATTTGCAGAATTCTTTTAGGCTTTGCAGCCCTGTTCTTTTGCTCTAGATTCAGCATCAACCTTGTTTTCAAACATGCATTCATGTCTCAGACCCACGTCGCCTTGAGTTCCTGGTAGTGGCTGTTTTTATACCTAATCATCTGACTGAGAATATGGAGCCCTAAGCTCTTGAAGGGTAATCTCTTAAATACATCTTTCTTAATCTTCTTTTCTGGGCAGTGCAAGAAAGAGATCATAGAGATTCAGGAGAGGAGAGGAGAGAGAGAGAGAGAGAGAGAGAGAGAGAGAGAGAGAGAGAGAGGGAGGGAGGGAGAGAGAGAGAGAGAGAGAGAGAGAGAGAGAGAGAGAGAGAGGGGGAGAGAGAGAACACACTCTGGTGCAGCACAGTTTCTTGGGCTCCTGGTATCCATTCCTCATTGCTTTCTCAACCACCCCAAAATGCCTTCCTTCCTTGGCTTAAAGTGTCTGGGGAGACTGTGCCTCTCTGAGAAAAGCAAAGTCACTTCATCTGACAGAAGCAATACCAGGGGCTCTTTCAGAAGGAGACTGATTGTCCAGGACCTGAGTGTCCCTGGGATGCCCTACTCTGCTCCCAGGCAAGCCACCATTGCCTATTTGTTGTTTCTGTATCCCAAGGACCGTGGCCCACCTGAGCACGGGTTGGACAGCTGTGATCCTTTTGGTAAGTAAAAGAGCCCACTCTGGACATGGTTTCGTGTTTTGTGATTGACATAAGTAACAAAGTACTATCTAAACCATGCTTCCCAAAGTGTTCTTCAAAGGAAACACTATCCTTAATATATAATTAATGGGAGGGAAGGTAGAAGAAATGGAGAATGTAACCCAAGTACAGCTGTGGAGCTCAACTCTGAGAGTATTTCAGCCCATGATTTTATAATCTCGATAACAAATGTGTCTCTTTCCAAGCCTTTACAATTATTAGTTTTAGTAATAGCAAGTGAGATGGAAAAGAATGATCTCTATCAATAGATGTTGTTCTTTCATATAACAAAGGAGGAATAAAGAAGAAATATTGCAGGCAGCTGAGTGAGTCTAGTGAGGGGTGACCTAAATAAAGTTTGGAGTTCAAACTGTGCTGCCACCTGGGGAGAGCTGTCTTGTGAAATATTTTAAAAGAAAAGAAAAATAGTTTTTCATATTGAGAGAACTTACTGATACTTCTTTTCAGTGATGTCCATTTAAATGGTAGCCACTGATCCTTCTGCCAGGGAAAGAAATAGAGAAAGCCAGGTCTGAGGATGTGGTTTTCAGAGTCGGGAGTTGTAATGGTGCCTTTACTGATGACAATGATACCTGCCCATCTGGCCACACCCTGTCAAAATCAGTCCTTGAGTTAGTACAGGAGGCAGAAGGCTATGAGACACAGTCCTTAGATATTTTTGTAGTTGAGTCAAGAATGACAGAAAGCATACTAATACCTGGTAATTCTGGGACAGCCAGAGAGGAGGGCAAGGTGACTTTAAGTTTGGGTGAGAAAAAGTAGTTAGCCTAAATTAAGCTGTTTCATTGCAATTCATTTTTAACAGCTATTCATATGTTGTATAATTTACTCATTTTTAAAGTATGCAATTCTGTGGGTTTTTGTACAATCATTGATAGGTGCAGTCATCACCATAGTGAATTTTAGAATATTTTCATTACCTTGAAAAGAAACCCTATACCCTTTAGTTATTTCCTCCCCACCTCAACTCTTCCAGCCCCACTCCCCATCCTTAAGAATTCACAAATCTGCTTTCTGTCTCTGTAGATCTCCTTATTCTGGAAATCTCATAGGAATGGAATCATATGATATATGGTCTTTTGCATCTAGCTTCTCTCACCGAGCGTAGTGTGTCCAAGGTTCATCTAAGTTAGAGCATGTACCAGCACTTCATTCCTTGTTGGGGCTGAGCCATGTTGCATGGTGTGGATTAATGGCATTCTGTTTATCCCTTTCTCAGTTGGTGGATATTGAGGTTGTTTTACCTTTTGGCTGTTATGAATAACACCAGCGTGGACATTCAGGTATATGTTTTTGTGTGGACATGTTTTCAGTTATCTTGGGCACATGCCTAGGAGTGGAATTTCTGGGACCCATGGTCACTCTATGTTCAAACTTCTGAAAAATTTCTAGGCTATTTTACTAAGTGTCTGCCCCATTTTTAATTTTCACCAGCAACATATATGTGTTCCCATTTCATACACAGGTTCCACCAGCACATGCTCTTATCTAACTTTGATCCTAGCCATCCTTGTGAGTGTGATGTGACATCATACTGTGGCTGTACTGAGCTTTGACTAGGACAAGGAGGGGCTGGTGGCCAGCACAGTGTTAAGGCCCGACAGGATTCCGATCCCAACTGATGCTGATGGTGACAGCCCCTTGTAACATGCCTTTACGAGTGATACCTAGTCAACTGCTCACACTGTCAAAATCAGTCCTTTCTCTCTCCAATAGTCTTTACTTCATACTCTAGCTCAGGCCTTTCAGGAGAGCAAGGAGTGAGGATGGAGAAACCATGGCTTCTGCCAATCCAAAAACACTTTGCTCAGGACCAGGTGACCATGCCTCCTGCAGCTTTGGGCACCTCCCTCAAATATTGGCCCCACATCTGGTGGGTGCCTAAAATCTCTTTTTTTGAAGAAAAAAAATTATTCCACAAATTAGGATAAAAACCAAGCATGGGGATTTCTGCTGGGGCTAACATTTTATGGTTGATGGTTTTGGTGCTTCTACTGAATACTTCTACTGAAAGAGAATCAAATCAGATATTTTTGGAATAAGCTGTGGCTGTTCCTGAAAGAGAAGGTCTGTCAGCAGGAGAAGGCAGGAGGTCAGGGATCCAGGTGGAGTGTAGTTGAATGAGAGCATGCTGCATGATGGCTTGTAGCAGGTTCAGTCGTGAGAGAACAATAAACAGCATCAAAAAGCCCTGGGATAAGGAAAGGGTAAGCCTCACTGGGGCAGCCGCATCTTAGTGGAGGCAGATAAGGAAATCTGGGAGATTAGCTGTTGCTGTGCTTTAAGGTTGGACCTTCCAGAATTTGAATCCTGGCTCTTCTGCTCTCTAAATGTGTTACTTTGGGAAGTTGGTATCTCCAAGTCTCTGTTTTTCTCTCTGTAAAATATGTGGAAGAGTGCACACCTTATATTAATGCTAAGAATAGGTTTCCCACCACCACATGGGACCCTGGGCATTTTTTTTTGTGGGGAGGGTCCTTGTCTCTAGAAATAATTTCTTTTTGTGTGTCCACGACCCACTCTTGTTCAACCATGGGAATGAAATGTCATGCCAACCTGAGGAAGCAACTGCCTTTCATGCTCTTCTCCTGGAATGGAGTCATCTCAAAGCCCACCCCCACCACCAAAAAACTCCATTGGCATGATGCCCAGGACTACTCCAGGCATCTGGTCCACCTCTATCAAGCATGGAGAGATGTAGAAGATGATCATCATTGGAGAGAACTCTGAGGAGGAACCTGAAATGTCCCACCCTGATAGCATTGTTGGTCCCAGATACCAGAAAGGGACTTGGACATTTTTAAGGAAGTCACGGATAGGGACCCTGCTTGCCCAGGTCTAGGGGCAGTATTGATTATGAAGGTTAAATGACAACATGCATATCAAGTGTCTAATATTTTGGCACATACAAACATACACTAAAAGTTATCTACAATAATAAAAATAGTTTATGTTTTTAAAATGATTTTGATGGTTGCCTTCCACCACCATGAAGCAATAGCAATGCAATTTTTGTGTTGCTGGAGCTCAGGTCTGTAAATGCAGCACAGGAAGTAGGATTCCCAGGAAGCCAGTATGTGTGCTCAGCACATCCTGCTTAGGACAGGTGCTCAGAGGAAGGTGCCCCTCCCGCAGTCCCACTTGTTCCTGTGCTAGCAGAGCACCAGTGAGCTCAGGAGCAGCTCCTGGCAGAGTACTTGGGAATATTTGGCAAAGGCCTCCTGCAGCTGCCAGAAAGGCCTCAAGATGCTGTAGCTTCCTGTTGTTGTCTGATTCTCAGCTCCTGCTTTGAGCTGTGCAGGGCTTCATGCTTCTCTAAGTGTCCCTGTGTCCTTTGTCATGCTCAAAACAACCCTAGGAAGTTGGTAGGGAAGGAACTGTTTTCCCCACTTAAGAACAGGAAAGGAATTAGGAAGAAGCTGGGACATGTGGACAAAACAAATATATCAGTGAACATACAAATCACTTTTGCAAGTGGGTATGACCCTCTGAGGATGCAGCACTGTTGAAGGGGCTTAGCTGTCATTCATTGGGCATCTGTTGGTCTCAAAGGTCATGAAGTATTTTATATTTTTTCCCTCGTTTAATATTTGCAACAATTCAACAAAAACTATTTTAATCTTCATTTTACATATGAGAAAACTGAGACTATCATACAGTTAAGAGACCCACCTAAGGTCACATAAGAAGTGAGTGGAAGAGCTAAACTTGGACCCAGGTCTGCCTGACACCTAACTTCATAGTCTTGACAGTTATGTGGAACTGCCTCCATGGGTCATCCACGAGTTCTGGTGAACACAGGCACACAGAAAGTTAGTAAATAACTTTGTAATTGAGTCCAATAGCAACCCAAATTTGAGGACTTTCATAAAACAAATTGCTTATGTCAGAAAAATTAGCAAAGATTTCTCTTCCCTGATTCATAAATGCACATTACCTGTAGGGGTTTTTGTTTTGTTTTGTATTGGTTTTCCCTGCACTCTACTGTAGGAAATTAAAGTTTCAAATCTGAGTTTCTTTCTGTCCTGTTGAGCTCTTAGGTCTAGTACAAAAGAAAAAGCCTATTTAGAGTGATTTACCTTCTTGACAAGCAACCAAGAAGAGTCTGGCACTGCTAATCAAAGCTCTAAGGATATCTGGAGAGGGTTCAGTGATTATGTAAGTCAGCTGAGTCCAAATCCCAAAGAAGAATGTTCTGGGCTGAAGGCTGGAGACTGAAGTGGACTTGGCAGCCCCCTCCCTGGAAGAACAATGTATATCCCTGAAGATAGGAAGAAACTCCCCTGCTTCTAGCACCTGCTGGGGCCTGCATGTGTATTCAGCATGCCCCTAGGGATCGCCTTCACCAGGGATGGTCTCCCAAGACCCCAGCACTTAGACGTCACCTAACTGAGAGGATCTCATATGTACATTGTTGATTCTCAAAGTGATATCAACCTGTCTTCAAGCAAGTAATATCTAACATTGTGGTTATTTAACTTTTCTTTCATGTCCTCTTCTCACTTCATTCACTGCTGTTAGTCCATAGCCCCAGACACAAACATAAGAGGGCCCAGGGAAGGTCTTGGGAGTTGTGGGACAATGGCCAAAAGGGACCATTGAGCAGATGCTTCAAGATACTGGAGTTTTTCTGTAGCATCTTTCTGGGGGTATTGAGAGGCCATGGTGGGGAAAAGATTTCAAATCCTCACAACCCTTAGGCTCAAGTCTGAAGACCCTCAGTTAAAACTGAGGTAGGTATTTTGCTTGGCTGTGAAAAAAAAAAATGTATCCTGGGAGATTGGAAAGAGGATGTCTGCCCCCACCCCCAGCCCCGCTCTGATGACCCATGGCTTGACTGTGACTGTTCAGGGATACAAAGTAGTGACAGGCCTGTGCTGCCTATCAGGAGCTGTTCTCAGCACGGGCACGGTCTCTATGGCCGTGTCTCATCTGGTCTG